TAGGAGAAACACAAGGTTAGGTTCCTGCAGGCCTCTGATCACAGCATTTTCATCAGCTAATCAATACATCATCTTATTTTATATGTGTTTCTTTTTAAACATACTTTAATATATTATTGATTCATTGACATTGGACTCACAGCTCTAGCATTATAACTCATGCTTGAACGAAGCTTATTTACATGCAGATATTTTCTCCATGAGGTACATCACAGTCTTCTTACCCTTAGGAACACTAGCCAGCAATTCAACATTCTCTTTGGAGACCATTTTAAAAAGTGAAATTGCCAGCTCAAAAAAACATAAAAATACAAAGAACATGGCAATAAATAGACCAGGAGAAGGGCACTTGTTTACAAAATAAGAGCTGAAATAAGAAGAAAGAGCATTGCTTTGTTTGGCCTCAGCTGAGAACATGGGCATTAGACAACTCGATTTTTTTGAAACTTTACATGTGTCCATGAATGACCATGAAAGTGCTACAAGTATTGATCTGGGGGTTACAAATAAATTTTAGCAAGCAGGTGGATTCACACATACAGAATCCATGAATAATGAGGACCATCTGTTCCTTATAAAACTTAAAATACTAAGTTAATGGAATAGGGAAGCAAAATATGAAAAATCATTCTTTTTTCATTGTCAAGTCTTATTTTAAAATGGGAGGAAAGTATTGTAGTGAAAATGACAAAAGACTCTTTTAAGAGTTTTATTATGAACAAAATAAGACCCTGTTAAGCACTTAAACTTTTAATTACAACAACCACTAAGGTGGTTAACACTGTTATGCCCATTTACAGATGTGGAAACTGAGGCTTAGAAAAGAAAGCAGCCCTGACCAGTGTGGCTCAGTTGGTTGAGCGTCATCCCATGCAGCAAAAGGTCACCGGTTCGATTCCCCAGCAGGGCAGATGCCTGGGTTGCAGGCTCTATCCCCAGTAAAAAGTGTGCAGGAGGCGGACTATTGATGTTTCTCTTTCACATCGATGTTTCTCTCTTTCTGTCTCCCTCTCCCTTCCTCTCTCTCAAATAAATAAATAAATAAATAAATAATTTTTTACAAAAAGAAAGAAAAGCATATTTCCCAAGCTCACCCAGCTATTAATTGGCTGAGCTAGTACTCAATGTAAGCTCAAAGGTCAGAGTGCTCCTACAACTCTAGGAAATATGGCTTTCCTAAATTTAATTCTAGGCTCTCATTTTGAAATCAGTTGATAAAGTTACCACAATGCCATTTTTTAGCTAGAATGTAGTTGCTTTTTTTAAAGTTTTCCCTTTGTTCATGTTCTTGTAAACATTCTATCTAAATCATTCATCTTAACCATGCACAGTCATTCTGCTGACATTCTTGTAAACTCCGTGGAACATAAAAGAGCAAAATGTAACCTTTCAGATAACACAATCCTGTTTTTCTTGTATTTGTTCAGGAATACACTCTTTTGTACACAAGCTTACAGTACTTTCCCAGAAAGGAGGAAATGTGTTCTTTCAGGAACACAGATGGTAAATACTTGTCGCACCTTAAAAATACTGCTAACTCTTCTTTATATTTTGTTATAAATAATAGGGAATGCTGTCATTTTGTTTGACAAGTTTCAGTTATTTCTTACTATACACAGAACAAAGTAAAACTCCTCAGCCTGGCATTTAGAGTCCACAACATGAGTCCGACTTCCTCCATAGCATTCCTCGATACTTACTCTGCTCCATCCAACCCATTCAATTTGCTGCCACTTCAAACACCTTTTCCCTCCAACTCCTGGGTCATTCTTTACACCATTCCTTCTACTTGGCTCTCTTACTTCCCAATACCTCTAGATGCAAAAATATGCTCCCCGCCATACCACTTCAGTGTCTCCGGGTCATAATTAGTTTATTCCACCTTCATAGCTCCTATATGTCCTTGTCTTTAAAAAAGTGACTACACATCATAGGTGCCCAACATATGTTAGTCAAACTGAAACGAAAGAGCCATGAATATCTACGACATATGCATATCTGTTAGGGCATCTTTTACAAAGGACAGCTGAGAAATCATTGCTAATTCTTGTTGGGAAATGATTGAACTTTACATGGGGACAGACTAGCTCTGGGTATTTGGTAATCAATCAGTAAATCAACACTTTAATATAGCTCTTTGTTTTTGTTAGCTTTCTCTACATCTTCCTTACTGCCTGTACTACCCATAGATTTTGGTCAATCCAAATCTTGGGCTAGTGAGATCTAGACCACATCAAGAACTCTCTTCTGATCTGTAATGGAAGCAGGGAAAAGTTTCATTTATTATGCTCTTGGGAACAACATATATGTGCCTACATCCTAGCAGTTAACTCGCAGCGTGAGAATGAAGAGTGACTAATAGCACCTTCTCCATGAAGTGGGGAGATGCTTCTGGATTATGTAAGAAGGTCCAATGTCATTACAAGGATTCCTATTAGAGGGAGGCAGGAGAGTCAGACTCAGTAAAGCAGATGTGACAAAAGAAGCAGAGATCAAAAAAGGGAGGGGCCACCAGGCTAGGAATACAAGCAGCCTCTAAAGCTGGGGAAGGGGAGGAAACCATTCTCCCCTACAACCTCTAAAAGGAAGGCAGCCCTGCCAACACCCTGATTTTAGCCCAGTAAACATGATTTCAGACTTTGGGCTTCCAGATCTATAAGAGAACACATTTATGTTACGTTAAGCCACTAAGTGTGTGGTAACTTGCTACAGCAGCAATAGGAAACTAATACAATATCATGGCTTCTGAGTGGAGAATGGCTTGGAGGGGGGTCAGAGGTGGAACTGGGAGGCCAGCTGAGATGCTATTACAACAATCCAGACAAAGTAGGTCTGTCCAAGCGGAATGGTGGCTGCATAGACCTAAGCTAAAGAGACAAACTGGGGATCTATTTTGGAGGTAAGGCTGACAGGACTGGCCAAATTCCCATAGTTCCTAAACCATTCTTTGTCTTGGCAGAAGCTGAAACCCCTGGGTACTATTTGGCACGCTAGAGTCATCAGTCTTAGAAAGTAAGTGCTGCTTTACTAGGTGACTGATTTGACAAATAAATAATTTACTCACCACCGGAAACATCCAGCCAATGGGAAAAAAAAACCAGCTCACAGCCCGGACTAAACAAGTTTCAAGGCAAACTCTTGGGTTCTGTACTGTCGTAAGGAATGGCAAAGCAAAGTCAGAGAGAGCAGCAGGCACAAAAGCAGATGCCTTCAAGGGGAAAACTGTGCTGTGGTTTAACCCCAGGCTCTGCAGAATTTCCTCTTTACAAGAAGAAAAGTTCTTTTCTCCACCATGGAAAAGAGAAGGAAAGTAATAGCCTTTTCACCCCAGTACTGTTTGTCAGAGCTCCAGTCCATGCCTCCTGTGGGCCAGGACTCCACCTGGCTGATTGCAGTGAGGCCTTCCTAGAGGCAAGATTCCAAGCTGTGGCCTCTGCCCACAGTGCTCTCGCTGCAGCCCAGGGCTGTCTGAAAGGCTAGCTTGAGCACTGAAGGCCCAGGGAAGGGGGACATCCCGCAGGAGACCAGCAATGCTGCCCTGTCACACAATAGACATGTTCATCTCGGGGAGAAGACTAACAGAAGCTCTCACTCCACCAAGCCACCAGGACCTTGCCTGCAGGATTTCCCCAAAATCACCTCCCCAAACTAGCCCCACCATCCCACATCATCACGCCTTTTCCTATCAGTACCGAGTTCATCTCAGCTTCCCAAGGACGCAGCTGACCCAGCAGACAGGTCTCAGGGCTGCAGCATGACTCTTATTTACCCCACAGTCTGCATCGTTGCGTGTTGTCCTGTGTGTGCCACGCACTGCCCTTTCCTCCAACACACTCTCTCTGATTTTCTAACTCTCCCTAGAAATGAAACCACTTGTCATCACAACACAGAGGCGCCCCAACCCAGGGTTTTGCACTGTTGAGAGGGGAGGGGAGCATCCTCATTATCACGTTAGCAGCGGGATTGCCAGTGCTGATCCCTGAGGCTCAGAGCCTCCCACGAGGAGCTCTTCTCCACAAGGGAAGAGGGAGTTAGTTGTGAGAACAAGGTTCAGAAGGCTGCACGCCCTCTCTCCCTGCCTGGCTCCAAATCCCCCAGCCTCCTGCATAATTGCCCTGTCCTCCAGCGTTTGGAGATCATTTGCAGCTCTAGTCTCTTTTGTTTGTTTGTTTTGTTTTATTAAGGTATTACATATGTGTCCTTATCCCCCCATTGCATCCGTACCTTCCCTCTGAGGTTTGATGGTCTGATCGATGCTTCTCTGTCTCTGGATCTGTTTTTGTTCATCAGTTTATGTTGTTCATTATAATCCACAAATGAATGAGATCATGTGATAATTTATCTTTCTCTGACTCACTTATTTTGCTTAGCATAATGCTCTCCAGCTCCATCCATGCTGTTGCAAATGGTAGGAGTTCCTTCCTTTTTACAGCAGCATAGTATTCCATTGTATAGACGTATCTCCATAAGGGTTTAATCTCCAGCATTTACAGGGAACTCATACAATTTAACAAAAGGAAGATAAACAACCCAATCAAAAAATGGGAATCGGACCTAAATAGATACTTTTCAAAAGAGGACATAAGGAAGGCCAAGAGACATATGAAAACATGCTCAAAGTCACTAATCATCCGAGAGATGCAAATCAAAA